ATCGTCCAAGATGTTTAAATAGAGAACACATTCAAGGATGAATTCACTTTTTCGTTTTTGAAAATGTACAATCGTAAAAGCACAATATACTTATTTTGTATTGCGTAAATAAATGTCCAAAACGTTGTATTGAATGCGTGTTGTGGTTTATTGTCTGCCCCAAAACGCTAATGAAAGTTTGAAAACGTTAATGAACCCACGCAAACATATTCTTGATTGTCATATTTCAATGCTAAATTTCTTATTGAACGTTCCATCGCACTATTGAGACTCCGTTCGCTTTATTGTATGCCTGTTCGCTCTAATGACAATGCTTTTTCGCTTCAATGAATATTCCTTTGCGGTTAATGAACAGCAAATGGTGTAAATCGCTACCATAAAACGACGAGCAGAGTATTGTTAGACAAGTTTAGGCAAATCTTTTGTTTAGCAATCAAATTCATAGAGCACGGGGATTTTGAATTTTATTCCACATTTGTAGCGCGTAGATATCGTTTTATGAATTATAATTTAGTGACTATTGTGTCGAAGACAATACAATTAATGACTCATAAACCACAAACAATAAGACTTACGAAGTTCTACCTACATATTCTAATAAGAAGGAAAACGTTGGAGTGTAAAACATCTTTATTTATAAACTAATATAAAAATATGAGAATATGTGGACCGCATGGCACTAATGAAATACATGAAGATATAGAAATATAGATAAGTTATAGTGCTTGGGAACGAGTTTATTCCGGGCGAAAGCCCTTGGAATTAAATTCGGAAAAATTAATTTCCGACCTCGCTGGGAATCGAGTCCACGAAATTCACTTTAATTTCACTGAATTTCACTGTTCACTTTAACATCCTTGTTTCCACAGCAAACACAGGGATCTTCTTCTGTCTCACTTTCCTCATTTTCTTCTTCGTCCACCTCTCCCTGGTCTTGTTTAGAGTCATTATTCTCAGAATTTCGGTCCTCCTCCTCCTCCTCGCTACTTGATTCTTCACTATAAGATTCATCGGATCGTTCTTTATTATCCTCAAGTTCTTCTTTTTCCATTAAATCAATTAAGACTTTTTTTTATTCGAATCCATTTCTTATTAATTCCCAATTCTGCCAATCCTTCCAGGAACGAATTGAGGGCTCTAGGTTTGAGGATATAAAGATTGTAGGGCAACAGTACATAATCTAAGAGGTCTGTAATACTTGTGACAGGTGTATGCGCCGCTGGTTTTCTTTAAAGCTCACCGTCTGGTGTCCAGAACACAATTTTTTTGGAAGCCGCCATGCTATGCAAAAGATCCTTGGCATCTGACGCTGAAACACCATCCGAAAGATCTTGCAAAACATTCTGAATAAGCGGCTCTTCTTCACTTTCTTCTTCGTCATTGGACTCTTCAATGTCTTCTTCGTCTTCTTGTTCCCGCCATTCCAATTTTCTTTTCATGGTGATGTATCCCCAACTGAGTCTTAAATCAAATGATTGTCCGCGCCTACATCACTATCCATTTATAGCATCAAAAGTCCCGATATCAAAGCCGGGGTCAGTAAATCCGAAATGAATCCACCCCACACTTGTACAAGAATTTGTTTCTTTTTCTTATATGGAACACCAGGATCGTGAAGATCATAGATTGAGCTTTGGTAAGTTAGTAGATGATTCCGTTCTTGTTATGTCGTAGGGATGTACTTGTACAAAATATTATGAATCACTTGAATAATTGCGTGAACTTGCTCGGGTGTAGCAGTGCAAAGAAGGAAGTTCTTTTGGTGTTCAGGAGAAGACACCAAGAGTTGGAGATTACCAAGATTGTTCTTCACAACAGGAGACATGATGAAATAATAAACTAGAACTATGAGTGAATAAAATTTTATTGCGTGTAGCCGGGTGGCTAGGCTATCGATAGTCGGATAGCATGATAGCTAAGCTATGGATAGCCTGATAGCTAAGCTATCGATAGCCTGATAGCTAAGCTATCGATAGCCTGATAGCTAAGCTATCGATAGCCTGATAGCTAAGCTATCGAT